GAACTGTAGTTGTGTAGATTGCAACTGCTTCCTCAGCAGAGATGTAAGGACCATCCTGTCAAACAAGAAAATTTGAGAAATTACATATTTCTCTTATGTAAAGTTTTAGCTCCATATCCTATTGCTATGAGAAGTTATTCACATTCCTTCTGCATCAAGCAGCCTCTACTTCTCCTGGACATATTGTTTGTCTGCAACAGGTAACCTCCCGACAGTTTGCCACATTTCCCTAGGTGTGCTGGTACTGTGTATAATTATGGGTGGAAAGAAGCACTGAGATAATACTCAGAACATTGATCCTCAAGGTCCTCATAATGAGGGAGCAAGGTTGTAAAGAAAGTGTGATGCTGTGTCAGTAGGGGGTATTACAAGATAATTTTGTTTTATAAACTGAGTTGATAATGTAAATTGGCCCTGTAGATGGTTTCTAGAGCTGACATTTCCAGTGCTAACCCTTCATCAGATGTACTCTGTCTTCACAGACTCACAATGCTACATGTATGGTATACCAGATAGGGACATGGCTACACCAAGGATTTCATTTGAGGAAAAATTAGTAAAACATCTGCAATGACTAAACGAACTGACTGAATTCATCAGGTGTGCAGAAATACGCATAGGAGTATAGTCAGTTTTTCACCAGTTAATGGATTGACTCTCTAGCACAATTCTGTGTACTCAGAAGGTAAAAAAATCTGTTTCAGAAATGTGTTGGAAGAATTGCATTCCCACAATATCCAAAAATATCAGATCTTTCTCAAGGAGAATGCACACCTTCAAGTAGTTATGCTGTCTTTCCTGTTCAGCTTTGAGATAGAGTCTTGTCAGACGTCCAAGATTTTTCTTACAAACAGTTTTATCAACTGTGGCTCCACGACGGATACGTTCCCTGTTGTAGTGAGCTGTGTTTGTCCACCAATCAGCCTTGGCTTTGACATACCGCAAAATCATGTTCTCAACTGGTGTTGGAAGGCCAGGCACCTGATGAAACAAAACCATTTGGTCAGCTTTACCACTGAATGGCCAAAAGCAACAATTTACTTTCTCTTCTTCTTGTTTCATTTCTCCTTCCTCTATTTGAACAAATGCAGCAGAAAGGAAGGCTGTGTATTTTGTTCAACAGACCCATTTTTATGAACACATTTTGGCATGCCAGGCTACTTTAGGTCAGTATCTAGACAACTGTTACTGATGGTTTAAGTAGAAGGGGAAAGAAGTATTATTTCTCTTCATTAAAGGGAACCATACAAAAAGTGTTTTAATACTGTATTTTTGAAATTTTGCTCTACCACCTTGACAGTTTATCTCCTGCATCAAAGGAGGCATTGTGAAAATTAATTGAACAGTGTCATGCCTAAGAAAACATACCATATAAGAAGTGAGGCTAGAAATAAACTACCCTTATATTCTTCAAAAGTCTACCACTTCTCCCAGAAACAAATCAAACTAAAGCACTTGAACAGTTCCTACCTTCCAAGGAATGTTGGCTTTCCAGCATCTCCAAGCTTCACTCAGATGCTGCAGAATGACTCGGGCCTTGTTCTGCTTAATACCTTCTGGCATCATGTCCAGGATGTCATGCATGACAGCTGCTCGTAACTCCAAATCAAAGTGGCTTTCCACTCTCTGCTTAGTTACTGTTTTGGCCACACCCTTGGAGTGTCTGCCTTCAAACTGCCTAGCTAGGAGGTTACCAAGCCAACGCTCTAAGAGAGGTACAACCCCACGCAGAAAAAATAGCCACACCCTCCAGCCAGGTGCCCAGAATCCACATCCTGGACCTTTCCCAACTGGTCCCTGCAACAAAGATATAACTTTTAAAAATTTTAGAGTGCTAATAGTTAGGATTTGTACCTTTTATTGGAAACAATTTTAAGGACTCTTTTAAGACTTCAAAAATTCACATCAACCCTTCAAACTCTGAGTAGAGACTAAATTTTTCCCCATAATATCAAAATAGCAAGTGATGAGAGTAAAGAAAACATAAATGTAAAATGTCAACCACTTTAATTTAATACTGCAGTCCAAATTTAAGGACTTTCTGCAATCTGCAGCCTTTTAGCTGGACTTTCTAGTCCTGGAAAATTGCATTACAAAATTGCAGGATTGTCCAGGTATTTCAGGACCTGTATGAACCCTGAATATCATCTTCAAAGTAATAGTGGTATACTTATTCAATATGAGATGGAGAAAGATACACCACACTTACAGTGTTAAATCTGTAGTAAATGAGATGTTTGATGTCTTTACACATTCTGATTTGTCTCATAAGCTTGTACTTGTATCTGTACATTCCAGTCAGCTGACCAACATGAGCAAAGGTGTACTGAAGACCATCAGCCAGCTGTACATAAAATAAAGTTCACTTCACAATCAATACATGCATTAAAATTGTGACAAGTGAGTTATAACTGCCATATACTTAGTTCAAGTGCTATAATAGTAATGAAAATGGAACTGGAATAATAGTGCAAGTTTAGTAGTCAACATTCCGTGAGGTGGCTATTCTAGCCCACTGCTTCCAGATCACATTGAAATTTGGAGTGTTAGCTTTTGTAGGAGGAAAACCAGAGGACCTAGAGAAAAACTCTATGGGCAAGGATGAGAAACAACAACAAACTCGACCCACATGTGACACCAGGTGTGGGTAGTGAACCTGAGCCACAGCATTGAAGGTGAGCCCTTTCACCACTGGGCCAACCCCCAAGCAGTTCTGTAAGCTGCCAGGGTTATCAACATTGAAAGTGTGTTGTGGGAGTAAGAGTACAGAGTAAGAGAGATAAGCAACTTTTAAAATGGTGGTTGAGTAAAGAAAGATGTAAAGCAGTTTAATATCATAAGCCAGAGACAGAAATTTTTTTTACCCTTCAACCAAATCAGTGAAAAAAGCACCACATCTATCTTTATTATATGATCATGTCTTAAAAGTTAACATCTTGTGCAATCTGTCAATTGAAGAGACAACAGTGTCCTCCTTTTAAGGCAACAAGGGTAAACTTTACTGCCTGTGGTACCTATTATTGTTTTCTAAAATTGCTTGAAATTCTTGAAAATTTAACCAATAAAAGGATTGCTCTACCAGAGCAATCCTTTCTTTACATGTCCTACTCAAAATAAGGGAGAACACAGAGATAACAATTAATTTTCTGGACTTACCTGAAAACTGTCTACATTACCCAGTCTGTACTGCACATGGGAATCTACAACCAGCTTTGTGAGTCGCAGAATCTCCCGACAAAGATGGAAAGCATTTCCAAATCTGGACTTCTTTCTTTCCTTTGTGGTAAGAGTTTTGACTGGTTTCAGATTGAAATTGTAATCCAAATGAAGGTAGTTCAAGTTCTTTCTGTGGATCAGTAGATTCAGCATGTTGTAGCCTTGCCGGCACACTTGGAGACCCACTTCCACCCAATCAAGAGTTGTCGTTTGAAAGAACTTTGTCGCTTTGAAGGATCGGAACAGATATCTAAAAACCACAAAAGAAGAAAATCATATCTCTGTCTGTGTCTTGAACTCAAAATATTGTGAACTCTTGAAATAATTATCAAATGTGAACAATGAAAAAGCCAATCACATATTTTTCACTAAATTGTATGCAGTTACAGTAAGTAGTTTGTAGTTTGTCTCTGTTTACTGATTTTCCAAAAAGGATTTAAGGAAAGTGACCTTGTGGGGTGCTTTTAGGATGCGTCTTAAACCTGTTGCAAAGTTGACCACAACAGTGAGGTTTAATTGCTCAATTTCTTGGTAATGAACTTGATACCATGGCAACAGTCAAAATGAATAAGAGAACAAAATTGGACAAATTGTTATATTGCTGCAAACAACCACAGATAAAAAATATAAGCAACTCTACCTTTTCTTTTGTGCTTTAGGTGGTCTGTGTTTCAGTGCATTCAAAACGTAGCACTTAAGAAGCTTTTGATACGACACTCGCACCTTAACTGGGTGAGCAGATGGACAGTGTTCACGATACCTGTATAAAATTAACAATAAAGGGGACAAGTTTCTAAAGAAAATGTGTTGCTACATCAGCGGGAGAGAATAACAGGGTAATCTAATATTATCAACTGAGTTGAGGACATAAACTGTGAAGAGTTTCAAAGCTGGTATTTCGAGGGCTAGCCCTTCATCAGGCTAATACTTGAAATGTCAGCTTTGAAACTCTTTACAGAGGCCAATTTATGTAATTAACTCAGTTGGTGATACTACATTACCTTGTTATAAATAATAATACTTAAGGTTATACTTGATGTGCAATATCTCCTAAACAATTTCAAAATCCTCCAATCAATAAGCAAGAACAAAAGGCTTGTAACAGTATATCATCCCTTGGACTTGAATTTATTGATTTCCAATTATTTAACAAAGTACTCTAAAGAGCTGAGGCCTTAAAAAATAATTGACATTTTAATAATTATTTGAGTCCCAAAAAAAAAAAAATTTACCACAGGACAAAACAACCCACACCTGAACACAACATTTACATTTTTGTATTACAGTATGGGAATTCTTACCAAGTCTTCACCAATGGTATATCGATGGCTCGGCGTGTCCTGGCAGATCTTAAACAGAACGGTCTGGGAGCCCAGAGCAAAGCAATACCTTAAAAGATAAACCACCAAAACATTTTACAACTGTAAAAGCAGCCTTTGTAAAACAAATTCTAACAACTTGGGAACTGAAAAATAGTTTTTAGCTAAACAAAAGTAGTGCTAACCATTTGCTGTGTTATCTGTGTACAGTGGTGTATCTTGCAAGAATGGCTGAATATCTTCAGGCAGTTCAAAATCTTCATCATCATCAGGCTGGGGTTCTGTTGTCTAAATCAACAAAACAATTGATATAAAATTTTCACATACTTCCCTAAGAGTGTGTTACTAGAAATTGTGCTTTTGGTCATTAGACTTTAGTAAGTAACCTCTGTGTAACTTCTTCAAGAAGGTGGGTACCTAGGACATCCACAGACTTCCACTGGGGCCAATAATAGAGAACTGCCTCCATGGCTGGGGAATCATTACAACCTTACCATGAGCCCCATATCAGACACCATAACACTGATTGCATACGTGGAGGGAAAAAATTGGGAGGGGTGGGCATTGGGAATGCTTCAAAACAGCCACTACTATAAGTGCCCTGAGCTGGGTTGTTCAAAGCTGGGTTAAGATAACCCAGGGTTACTATGAAATTTGATTTCACAGAAAATCAAGTTTAATTATTTTTGTTTTCTATTTGATTTTTGGATGTTCTAAAAAGAATTGGAAAATTATCTGGAAAAGACTTTTGAATGGAGAAATAAAGAAACCTGGATTTCTATTTAACCCTTGGTCATGGCTAATCAGCCTTTGAACAACTAGATCCAGGACTGCAGAGGAACAGCTGTTACCAAACTGGTAAAGAACTCCATAGAATTGTTACATTGGCATTACCCAAATTAAAAGAAAATGTGAATTATACAACAATTTTTCACTGCAATTTTGTTTTTAGCTTCTCAACAGTCCACTCCATTTTGTTTTAGACAGACCATTTTCAGATGAGAGCAATCATGAAAACAGCTATTGTCAATGATTTGGACCAAGGTTTCCACCTCCTCTGTGAAACTCCTTATTAGAATTCTTGTTAAGAAGTCATCATTAGAGTCACCCAGATGATTACAAAGTGTTTAAGTTTCAAATAGCAAAAAAGCAAAGCAAAGTACCTTGACAGCATGTCTGTGGGCAATTGGATTGACAAGAGGGTCAAAGTAAAATGCTGGTAGATCCGGGTCCTCTGTTTTAATGTAAACAACTGATGGATGGTGATACCTGACAAAAGACAAAGACTTGAGTTTGAGATAAATCTCCCTGGTTTATAATTGTGCAACACCAACTGATGAAGCAACATTCACCCTATTTTATGGCTATCACTTCCAAAGAAAGACACACTATTTGACCACTCATTGCCGGTCTTCCATACGCTTACAGCTTAAAGAATAACCAGACATTTTATTAATCTAAGATTACATATATTGTGCCAATAACAAGGTAGCTCTCCTTTTTTATTTAAAGCTCACACAGTAGTAACTGTGTTTATGAGGATTATATAACTTCATTAAGGTAACTGAGAATTAAGTTCTGGCATTTTGCATTCTGTTCCTATATTACACATGTATTTGGATCAAAGAGCAGTCTATAGCTGCTTCATCTATAGACTTGCAGCAGTAACTTGAACCACTTTTTTTTTAGCCACCAATCCAAACAACAATCAACATTCTTTAAGCAATGCTGTTACCCGCATCTGGTGGCAGAGGGTGACAAACATCCAACAAGCTCAAGTACCCTTATGGTTGGCTCATAACAGGAAACAAGACCCTTACAGATCAGGAGACAACTGATCACGAAGTTAATATCTTTGTGAAAGTAGTATATTATGAAGACAGATTTTTGTTTCAAAAACCAGTTACCCAAATTTCAAAATTATTTAAATTTGTCCATATGATGATGGGGAGAAAATGTGTCACTGCAACTTGATTTGGAAGCAGTTACTCAGTTTTCCAACCTTTGAGTTTCGTGTACAGAAATTTTCATGCATTTAATCCTTCACATCCTTACATCAGTATGCATATTCTCCATACTGCTCTTTATTCATTTCCTCATATGCTGACAGGGAAAACAAGATCTTGTAAGGAGAAACTAGACACTAATCACTCTTAGGGGGTCTAAGGGTTAACCAACTCACCAGGGTAGATGCACTTTGTATGGCAAACTGTTGAACAGATAAGGGAATGCAATTCTGTACTCTGTCCTCACGGGCTGCCGAATGATGATCTTGTTTATGTCATTAAATTCATTCCAGTCTTCGTCGTGGACATTGACATCTCGCACCAAAGGCTCAAATTTTGGTCCTCCAGGAATGGCAACATTCAATGCTTTAGCTGTGAAAAATGCCTTCAGATCATACAAGTAAAAGTAGTTTTTATCTACAAGATCTGTCAGAAGTTGGTTTCCCAGACGATAAAGTGTAGACATGATTGGCAGTGTAATATTCCATTTTCTGTATGAAGATCCATTGACCATTCTAAAAAGAAAGCAGGATGTTATGAAAAGAGTAGTATGGCTTTTCAATTAACCATTTCACACTCAATATCTCATTAGTAATTCTCATTGGAGAATTTGGTATGGTCCAATCAATGATATTCTAACTGATATTTCACTTCTTCAAATCAATTTTCTGCTTGATTTTGTATTGATGTTTTAAAGAGAAATTCTGCATTAGTCATGCATGAGACTTAAAAGGTTAAGTCACAAATCAGAAAAACTACTGATACGTGGGTCTAGAGCTACACCTCTGCAGTAGGTCAGGTCACATTCTACAGTTTCCTGTAAGGGAAAGAATCCAACAAACTATACCCAGGGAAAGCTACTTCCTTAGGTTTCAGTTCTTACAATGATCACAGAAATACAAAGTCCTTACTTGGTATCTACCAGGGGATTGTGTTCATAAAACCACTCATAAACGCTTCCATCTTCTTCAGGATCCAACTCCATCTGGATCGGCTCAAGAGGTTCAACATCCAGGATGTTATCAGCGTAATCCAGAGGAGGTTCCTCATCATCAAATGGGGGAAACCTCATTCTCTTGAAATGCCTCCTGTCTCTCTTCTCACGACGCATCATGATCCACATGGTGCTAAACCAAGGTGTAACATCCAGTTTTACATTTTATGAGTCATGCCAAAGAGAGAAATTGAACAAAATAGTCCCTACTCAAGTTGGCATAATTAGCTAAAAATTACCCCAAGCCTTCTTTACATGAAATTTTCCTCCAACCTTTGTAACACTCTTTGATTTAACAAAATTATTTTTTGGTCTTGATACTTTGAAAGTGTTTTGTTCAATAGATTTAACAGTCCCCACCTTGATTGTAATGCTTTAAAGTAAATTAATTACCTTTTCTTACCTACATATAAATATACACCTACACTATAGGGGCAATTATTTAAACACAAAAATGACAGTGCTCCGAACTGCTACCATTTCAGTTCCCATGGCAAATAGAAAAAATGTTGGTAATTAACTTTGTGTTGAAGAGCACTAATTTGGCAATCTCTGCTAAGCAGTCATGTAAAAATATCTAGCATTTTTACATAAGTGTAAAACATAAGTTAAATGATTATGGTCTTGAGTTGTGAGATGCATCTCTGCATGAAAAATTCCATGATGTTACACAAATTATCCTTCTTGCTTGTTTTTGAGGGAAGCTATAATGCTCCTGGATATTTTCCAAGAGTTTTTGTTTCTTTTGTTTCTTCCCTTTTTTATATATTTTTTGACAACTGTTTATTTAAAGAGACCTTTTAGCTCACTACAAAGAGACTTGAGCTTGGGCTCAAACTGAAAATTTACATATACTTTTTTGACAAGGCTCTCAAGTAATACTATTTTGAACTTACCCCCACTGGGCCAAATAGACAGGTTCCACAACCCATGGAATCTCATTCACAAATGTGATGGCTCCTGTGATGTGATAAAGAACCTTCACATCTCGAATCTGCTCCCATGGCATGGGCATGTTCTCGAGTAACTTCAGCACTGCATGAGGCATGTATTTCAGTGCACTAAAATTCAAACATAAGAAGTGCATTGATACATGTTATCATTGAGTGAACGCAAGTGTCGCAATTTTAACATTGTATAAGTAATATTGCATTCAGGTTGATAACTTCAGTTTTCTTACCCTAAGTATACTCGCTTATCATGCCGATATTTCCTGCTGGACATGTCACCATGATCTCGAATGATCTTTCTGACATGCTCTGGAGGCATGTCTTCTTTCTGTGCTTCCACAAATCCAAACTTTCTCTTTTCGCTGTACCTTTTTGACTGGAGTTGTTGCCATTTTCGAGCTGCAAATATTTTGATATAAAAGCAAATGTATCAGAATCAATGTTTTAAATAAAATGTGGGAACTTCATAGCCCAGTGATGACAATTTTTTGTATCCTTCACATTCCACCTGATTTTACATGATACAAGTATGTGATCTTTGTTCAAAGTTCAGTAAAATAATCTGGAAAGAATCTTGACCATTCAATAATCTGACATGGTGAATAATAAAGTAAAAGTCTACATCATGCATTCAAAAGGTTTAGTTGTTGAGCATCTTGTAATCTTGTGTTGACCTTAGTTAACTACTGTATTGAAATGAGCCAGTTTACAGCCCTAATAGTATTTCAATGAGAATTAATGGAAAACACAGACACTGTGACTCCAGAAAGAAAGAACCAACAACGACGCAGCAGAAATTCGAATCTTAACAGTAAGTTTCATATTTGTTGTAATAGTGACACAATGAAATCTGTATGAATGAACCCTGACAATTCAATTTACTCAAAGTTCAGTCAGAATAAAACAACGAAAAAGCAAGACAGCCTTAAAATCAATCTCAATTACCCTTAGAAGAAACACGGGTAATTTTGGGAAACCTTTAAGTGACAGTTGATCACGTTACATAAGTTCACTGATCGAATGTCTGACAACGTGAACATGACGTTAAAGTGAATTTCTGATTAGAATCAAGGGTTATGCATTCGAGCATGCACATTAAGCCAAGGAATTAACTCGTGGAACAGTCACACTACATCACCTTTTTCCTGTAGTTTGTCTTCTGTTATTTCAGCTGGTAACCCTGCAACGGCGGGTTGGCCCCACGCCGCCATGCTGACGGTTTCACTGCAGATGAAAGCCTTCAAACGCAATTGCAAGAGGAAATAGGTTATAACCCGCCCAATAAAAAGCATGGCTTAATTCAAATTTAAACTACAAGACCTTCAATTACCTGAAAAGAAGTTCGCGTTCTTTGCAAATTGGAAGAAAAGCTCGACGCAGACGTTCAAACTACGAAGCGTGCATGGCTGTCCGCCATGTTGTGACGTCACAACCCTGCTTCAGAATGAAGTGAGGTACCCCCCAAATACCTTTTCTCCCAGCAAGGCCTGGTAGCGAGGCTTTACTGAAAACTCCCACAACTCTCCACGAGCTAATTATTTTGGTAGCGCATGCGTTCAACCCGTCTGCCTTATCCGACGTGGCGTTTGGACAAAAGATAGTTTCATGTGGACCTCTTAATAATTACAGAAAACTGTAGATAAACTTTAGGAACAAATATGGCTTTTATACCTTTATTGTTATGTTCGATGTTACTGGTGCTTCAGTTGGAGAGCTCGTATGGTTATTTTATAACGATAGATGCACACGCAGAGGAGTGTTTTCATGATCAAGTAACATCGGGAACGAAGATGGGGCTTATATTTGAAGTAGCTGAGGGTGGCTTTCTGGATATCGATGTTACGGTAAACACTGAAATTTTAAGCCTATAAATGCTCCAGAAATTTTATTTTTAACCGCGTTAGATATGTTTCAGGGGTAGCCCATGACTCAGAAACAGTAAAATGTGTTCATCCGCAGCGTAAAGCAATTGTAAAAATCGTTTCCTAAATTCTTATTAATCCGAGTGTCATGCAGTGTTGAATTTCTGCAGAACTCTCAGAGTCAATGTAAACAGATTTAAGTTCCATGTCTGTTGAATATTTGAGCTCATTTTAATAGGTGACAGTTATAGCTCATCTTCAACTTTCATTAAAAGGAAGTTTTAGTTCAAATATTTGTTAATGCTTACAAGTACACTAATGTTCTCTAGAGAATAGTGTATGTGTAGGTGTTGAACCTGGACTCACTGTCAGGTTCATATCTTACAAAACACATTAGCAGTGCTTCTTTTGAGTTTAAACCATACTTACACTGCAAACAAAAACCTTTGAACTGAAATTAATACAAGGACAGCAGAGGTGGACAGGAGTTAGGTTACATGCCTCAATCTCTCCCACAGAAGCTCCAATCAGCACCGAACTGTCAAACTGAGCCTAGCAAAACTAAATTTTGTACTACTATCTCAACTTTAGAAAGTTTTGAATCAGCCTTAGTCTCAACAAATATTGACTTTCATTGTAGGTTTCCTTTAACTTTTGTAAGTAGTGATTTTGGTAGGTTGATTTGTATCACCAGTGGGAATTATTTAGAACAAGAACATAACATTTAGAAACAACTTAATGAATGTGGAAAGTCACCCTAGAAAGGAATACTCGAGATTCTTCATCAGCTTCAAAAGGATACCTTACCCTTGTTGTATTATAATACACACATGCAGACTTGTCATAAATTTAATCAAGATGTTTTGATGATTGTTTTTTGGACATTACAGATTACTGGTCCAGACCAAAAGGTTATTTACACAGGAGAGAGGGAGACCAATGGAAAGTATGCATTTGCCGCATACATGGATGGCACTTATCATTACTGTTTTAGCAACAAAATGTCTTCAATGACACCAAAAATAGTAAAGTTTTCCATGGATCTGGGAGAGCCACCTAAGGACACCAGTAAAGAAGAAGGTGAGAGGAGTTAATGAAATTGAGAGAATTTAACAATTGCCACTGGCAAGTTATGGAAAAAACATTGAATAACCATAAAATGGATTAGAACCTGGGTTAGTCACACTTTCATGACTGAATGATCTGCAAACTGTGCTTCAGACAACTCGTCACCAAGGTTGTCTTTAGAAGCCTGTAGTATGTGGAAACCTGCCAACTGTCACACCATTTTACACCAGCTACCTTGCTGATTCTGATCAAAGACAGAAAATATGTCCTTTTGGGCTGATTCAAACATCAATCTCTGGGTAAAGTCAGTTACTCAGATATATCCCAGAATGCTGGAAATCACATCTCAAAAGAGTTTGTGAATATTCCTGGGGCAGCATGCCCCTACATTTCCCCTTATTCGAAGAAAAATATCAATGCTGTGAAGCTGTCTTCCCTCCAACTAACACATGTGTGGTGCACTGAATATAAATGTAAAGTTTCCAAGGATTACTAAGATTTTCTTATCTGAGAGTTAAGAATTTTTTCTATTATTTTCACAAGGTGCAAATCATGATAAGCTTAGTGAAATGATTGGACAATTGTCTGAGGCAATGACTGGAGTGAAACATGAACAGGAATACATGGAAGTTAGAGAAAGAATTCACAGAGCAAGTGAGTATATTGCATCAGGTGAATATTCAGTGGATTTATTTGTTAGATTTATAATTTTGGTTTCTTTGTATCTTCCTTCTGCAGTCAACGACAACACAAACAGCCGCGTTGTTTGGTGGTCTTTCTTTGAGTCCCTAGTGCTGGTTGCTATGACGCTAGGACAAGTTTTCTACCTCAAACGATTCTTTGAAGTCAGAAGAGTGGTTTAAGTTGTAACATTGATTTTTTAGCAAAATTCAAAAACTGTATTGTACAGAGAGATATGAGGTACAATTGTGTTCACAAAGTAAAGCAAATTTACTTTTTTTCAAAAACCAGTAACAACTGTTTGTATAACACAATTTTCCTTTTCTCTATTGGCTTTTTGATACTTTGCCAATTTAGAAACTTTTTTTTTTTTTTTTGAGTCAAGGACTGTCATTTCAAACACTGTTCACTGTAGTGCAACAAACTATACTGATGAATACTCAGTTGTTATGGAGAGGTCAACAATTCCCATTACTGGTATCCCAAAGTGTTCCTTAGATTAATTGTGACCTAAAGCTAAGGGGTTTGAATTTAAACCATGATCTGGTCATTTAAACTGGGATAAGCTATCATTAAGTGAAACTGTCTTCCAAACCATTTTCAATTGAGCCAAAATAATGTTGAATGTAACCATTGATTTTCTATGAACTGTGATAATTGCTGTGAAGCTTTCACTAGACATAAACACACATCAACTTCACTCTTATAAAAAAATATTGGAGTCCATTTTTTGTCTAAAACTGCCTTTTTAGTTTTTGTGCAGACTAGCGTGGTTCAGGATGAAGTTCAGGAAAATTATAAATTATATTGCCCTTAAAAAAGCCACAATGTCAAGAGGACTGCTTCCCTTTAAGCTCTTCCTCTTGGTGTGTACAAATAGTATCAGAGAGACATCTTGAGTAGAAACCAGCCTTTGTCTCAGTGAATCCACAGATCCTTTCTCAACATGTTGTAGAAAGCTTTTGTCTCCTTTTTAACTTACATGTAACTGTTGTTGGAATTAAATAAAGGCAATTGTCATCCTTAAACCCTTGAACCCCTAAGAGTGATTGGCATGTAATTTCTCCTCACAATGTCACCCCTGTATCATACATAAAAGCCACAAGATTAAGCGAAATGATCAACAACCAAAGAGTTCTTAACTTCCAAACAAATTCTCCTTTTCAGCTTCTCAAGAGATGTATAGAGAACAGTATGGCGAATATGCATTTTGATGTTAGGGTGTAGAGGGTTAAGGCTGATTTTTCTGGTTGATATTTGTGGTAGTTATCTTTAAATATGAATAATCGCATGACTTTGAGTGCAATTTGAGATAAATCGTCTTGCATAAATCTTTGAAAGGCTAACCAAATTGCACAGCCTCATAGGGCACATCCAACTTGCAGTCATTGAAAACTGCACATAGCCAGCAGTTGAGGTGTCTTCTTAGGGTGAGTTGAAATTACAAGCTCATGATTGGCCTGCAGTGGGAGTTCCTACAGGTGACCATTATCACAAAAAGTACAAGGATGTTGGGTAAATCAGCAAGTACAATAGTGATCTAGTGGTCAGTTGCAGAATGGAAAACTAAAAAACTAAATCTTTTGGCAAAACCACTTTTCTTTCTTTCCTTCTTTCTTTCATTTTTTTGATGATCATATCAGCCAAAGAAAAATAAAGTAAAAGATAGAGAGGACAATTCATAATGAGAAGGTTGTTTTATAATTTCCAATTTCTTTAAGGGGGGGAACTTGCTCCAGCTGGTCTTTGAGTCAAGAAATAGAGATTAAAATGAAATTCTTTTTTAATGTAGTGTTTTTTACAGAGTGGACAAATAAGAACAACATTATTTTGGTTTGTTCAAGTGAGCCTTCCATCTCTTTGAGTAAGGCAATTTCCTCCACTTTTTTCTCTTCTTCTTTGGTCTAAAATCTGTAAGAGATAAGATGTGAGAAAATTGTGAAACATGGCACAAGAAATAAGTAATGTCTTGGTGTTTTACCTCTGCAAGAACATCACAAACATTTCTTTTGTGATAATTTTACTGACTCAAAAGTGTGAACTATCCTTTGTCATTGAGGCATGGACAATGCCGACTAAAATTTGAAAAATATCACCATCCTCCAAGAAACTCAATTGGAAAAAATGTAAATAAAACAAACATGGGTAATTTACACCCTTTGCATGATACTGATTCGCTAATTTTTTGGTCAATTTTGGTTCAAGGGATTTTGGGTAAAACTGCTGGCCCAGGTTTTTTTTTTCTAACCATTAGCCTGAACTATGAAACAAAACATGGAAACAAAAAAAACTAATAAGTGAAATAAACACATTAACGCAAGGAAGATGTTTGCACAATGCCAAAAAGGGGACAAAACTTTACGCAAGTAAACTGGTCCTCTTCAACATCTTGATATGTCTCCCAGACATTGTGCAAATGCCTAAATTTTTGTTTACCATTCTAACAACCACTCACCTAAATAATATGTTTCTGGTGGTATAACTTTCCTGGTTTCACTCAGTATGACGCCTCCTTCCTTAATGGCTTCTGAGAAGGCAGTGGTCTGCACAATGGAAAAGTTGATAATGTAAATAGAAGTACCATTTGACTGTCACATCCTCCACCAATAACTCTCTACCTTGGATTTCTTAAAACCCCTTTGTTACCCACACAACTTCTACCTATAATTTCAGTGTACTCTCCAAATTTCACTCAAAGAGAATGGACAAAGCTGTTAGTTGGAGAGTGTTAGCTGATATAACACCAGATTCTCTTAATTAATTTACCACAAAAATTGAAGATGGCTTAGAATGTAGTTTTGTTAAACAAAAGCTAAACTTTGTTTACATAACCAGCCCTCAGAGTTAAATTATTAGAAACACATGACAAAAAATGCAGATAATTTATCTGTAAATCCTCAGAGTGACAGGGTTCAAGGGTAAAGAGGATAAGAAAAATATTATAAAATTATGGTAAAATATACCTGCCGCAACAAACACACAAAGAATAATGACAATTTTAGGACGGCATATCAATTTTAGCAGCTTCTGTTACCCTTTGTTTGCGCAAGCCCCCTTTCATAGCTTCCCATTGCACACGTGTTATTCCTGCCTCTAGACATCTCTGTGCAATGACTCTGCCAATATTCCTTGCAGCAGTAACATCTGTAGTTTTGTAAAGATGCCGTGTGATTTCAAACTCAGTGGTGGATGCAGACACCAAGACCAATCCACTGTTATGCACCACCTGAGCTCTTGTATGCCGGTTTGTTATTAAGAATTGAAGTCTGTGGATGAAGAATACACCAGAATGATTTTACAATATCCTTGAGAGTAGAAGTACCCACACTCCCTGAGATAATTAACACAGAAAATGTCATCCACTTGAACTGAGTAGGCCTTCAGCATCATTTAGACATGTAATCTTCTGTTTATAAATGATGTGAATAAGCCAGTTTCAAGTTCCTCGGGAAATTCCACAATTTAGCTGATGATGACCGTCAGAAGCCCCAATTACCACCAGTTGAATTTGTTTACCATCATTAGCAGTAATATCGTGATCTGATTGACCAATTTGCCGTTGTCGATAGGAGTACAGACAACGCTGCTTGCGTCAGGGTGTCACGATCTTGGTCACGCATTGAAAGAATCAATTTATTTGACAACGATATTATGGTTAAAAGCGAATTGACTGTGGTCTAGCGTGGTCTGTACTATTATCGACAAAGACATTCGCCATCACAGTGGTCATTGTAATCTGTACTCTTATCTACAACGATTTTCGTTGACACACAGAACAACTGTCGATTTGTTAAACCGACACACAGAGCTGCAGTATTAGATAAAGCAAACTTACTTGTTGTAGAAATCAACCCTGTAAACTTGTGTAGAATACCCTCTTGGTTTGTTGAATCCAAAATATTCTTCGTTTCGAGGATTTCTGTTCTCAAATTCACCCAAAATTGGAATTTTCGTTTTTCGAGGGTCACTATTTTCAGTCGCCTCATCGACCTCTTTCATTTGACTTGCCGCGTTAGAAAAGTTGCATCTAGAAATGCAACGAATATTTCTTGATATAATCTTTAGGTTGATCTCCTTGTAGTTTAAAAGGCTGCGTCTAACTAATGGTAAATAAGATGGAATTAGAGCTCGTACAAGGCTTTTAGTCGCCATGTTGGCTAACCCGGTGCGCACGCTCCTAGTCATCATTACACAACATATCAACTTGAAAACTACTTTTACCGCTGTTAAGAGTAAACAGAGAAAATTCACGTGGAATTTTAGCAAATCCACTAAAAGGGACAAAATGAGGTGACTTACTCCTTATTTTAAGTTATACCTTGCGCATCGCACTGTCTGCCTGTCACCTAACTTCTCTATCTCTAAGATCCAATGAGTAATTCTCTCCTCTACGTTATGTAAATCTAATCCGCGATCAGGCGTTCTCGCTGATTGAACAGGTCAAGTTTCCCATGTGAAAGAAAGCCTGATCGCAGATTCTCGTATCTTAGTCATCGAGACTAAGTGTTATATCAAGATCCTCCAGCCTACGTTTTCGTCAATGTTCCCTGCGGCCAATGTAGTGAAATAGTTTTGGAAATCGAGGTTCATGTAAATAACTTCTTTGAGTTAAAGGTCTTAAAATTGTGGGATCAAGTTGTTCTGGTGTGAAGTGCCCTCCATTCATAAACTCATCTAGCAAACTATGATTGATGCAACTAAGAAATTAAAACTTAACCTGGAATACTAGCCTGCCAGTCAGTGGGGCTAACCAGTCACAGTAAACAAAACAGCTTTAGTTTAGCTGACCAATCACAGCTGTGTAAACCAACCAATCACTATAGGGCATCATATTTCATATGATGATGGATTAAAGCATTGATTTCCATTAGCATGTGTCTATTTACTCTTTTCAACTATCAGTGGTTTGGGTCAATTTTTGGCCCACTGTCTGCTGGCTATTGGTAATGTGTCAGTAATGTGATAGTAATGTGTCAATATCATGTTGGTTGACAGGTTACAGACTACTGAACATGGGAGCTATTGTTCATATTTACTCAAAAATTATGATTCTTTGTCAGAGCTGACCAGATTATGACAAAAATGATGATAATATAATGAGGATATAATGTTGGTAAGGTTTGAAAATAAATAAGGACAGTTTGATTTTGAAAGAGAGATTTAAGCTTTCTATTAAATATAACTGTCTTTAATTACCCTTTCACAGTGAAGGTGGCCGTATTCTTGCACAGTTCAAGAGTGAGCTTGGAGAGCTCATTGGTACACCATTTGACCTTCCTCTTGATATTACTCCTGATAAATTAGAATTAGTTTGCAATGCAGTGCTGCAAAAGGTAAGATGTTTGCTATTTACCACTTGAGCACTGTTGCATATGTGGACTCTCTTGACTTATTCAAATTTTAAGAATAAAAATATCATAAAGCCCTAACTGGAGTACTAAAAAAAAAGTTTTTGAATGATTTAATGAATAATTAGTTATGATTATTACTTTAATATTCCTTGGGGCTCAATTTTTTTTTTGATTTGTTTTTTTCATTACTTCAGGATGAAAGCGTACCTTACTCTTTCTATGTGAATGAGTCAGAAATTACAGGCAGTCTCAAGGAAACATTAGAAACCCAAACATTAGAAACAGAGAAAGTTGTAGAGATTGTGTATCAACCCCAGGCTGTATTTAAAGTTCGAGCTGTGACAAGATGCACCAGCACAATTCCAGGTAAAATATTTTAATCTAAATTTGTCATTACTGTTCAAGAAAATAAATGACGGTCTCTATATATTCTGCAGACATTGCAAAATAATTTTCTTTGAGTGATTTTTTTGGGCCTTTTTTTGAGATAGAATGTTTTTCAAACTTGGTAAAAATATAGCTTTATTTTTGGTCTGTGTTAGGTCACTCTGAGGCTGTCATTTCAGTGTCATTTAGTCCTGGTGGCAGGTGGGTTTAGTGTTGAAACATGACATTGTAGAGTATTCATAGTTCAAGTTACTCCTCTCAAGCCATTATTACTCTACTTTGACTGTCCTTTATTCAGTGATCAAGATAGTATATTTACCTTACAATACTTGTGATTAGTTATTTTAGGAAATCTAGATAATCTTGGTTTGCTGTGAGGATTTAACCCTTTAACTCCCAGAAGTGATTAAAATGAAACTTCTCCCCACGATATTTATACATTATTCAGCAAACAGGTGATGAGAGCACTCACACATATCAGTTAGAAGTTTTTATCCAGGTCTAATACCAAATTCCCATAACTAATTTACAAGGAAATGTGCAGCACCTAGAAGGGAGAATTTATAATCAGATCTTGGGGGTTAAAAGGGTTAAACCATGGTCCTTCTAATTCTGTGGTCTAGTGCTCTACTTCTAAGTTACAAAGAACTGGGGGGCAAGGAAAGCTAAAGGTATTGGTTTACAGGGCTGATATAATTATTTGACAAGCATCCTGTATTCTGCCTTTGAGGGTTAGCAAATCCTGTGTGGAAATTTCAGAAGATGGTGCATTTTGAGCTCTCTTATGAATAAGAAAGACAAGAATTCTTTTTGTTTTGTTTTGTTTGGTTTTTTTTTTATACATATTTATAAATCTTTCTTAGATATTTGGCAAGTGGTTCAGGAGACACAACTGTTCGGTTTTGGGATGTGAACACAGAAACACCTCATTTTACTTGTAAAGGTACTCACCCATCATTGAATTTTCATCCCTGTAACAAATGTTGTTGAGATTTTTCCATATCAAAGTCCTAGTGCTTCATATTTTAATTTGATGTTGATCAAAGTCAAAAACCTTTTGAACAGTGAAGTTATGATGTATGGATTTTCAATAATTAATTTATTCTTGATAATCATTTTTGAGGCCATACACACTGGATTTTACATATAGCGTGGTCTCCAGATGGGAAGAAGTTAGCTTCTGGCTGTAAAAATGGTGAGGTAAGAATGTGATTTTCAATTGATAATTATAGTGTTAGAGTTATCAATTTGGAGTTTTATTTTAAACAAATTTCCCATTTTTTGGTTTTAAATTTTCCTCCTTTAGTTTAATCTGTTGTCTGTGTGAGCGTCACAGTAAATGTATATAATCTTTAAAAAGCTTTAAAGCATGGACAAGAGAATTGGAAACTCAGTAAGGAGAAGTTATGGATAGAGGAGAGGATATTTCTCTGACTAGGTATTATGTTCAAGGCAAGCTTGTTTCCTCTTGCATAAATCTGTGTCTGGAGTATTACATGAAACTTGACCCTTGGACCTCTAAGATTGGCTAGCATCTAATTTCTCCTTAAAATATGGCCTCTGAATCACACATCAAGGTCACGAGAATAAAGGAAATGATCACCAACCAAACCAAAGCTCTTGATTATTAAACTAACTCTCTCTGTCAGCGCCTTAGGACATGTATAGAGAACAGTATGGAGAATATGTACACTGATGTGAGGGTGAAAAGGGTCAATAAATTGTCTGATTTATTTTAGATTAGAATATGGAACCCTGTTGATGGAAAGCAAATAGGAAAGACTTTGAAAGGTCATTTGCAGTGGATTACTTGGCTCAGCTGGCAACCACTTCATAGGTACAATGTTTTG